TTAACCAATGTGTACTGACGTATCACTCACTACGCTACCAAATGTTGGAAATTGTAGGCTCTGAATTGCCAAGAAGGGAACGTCCAGGAAACTGTCTCCTTTGACTATCCAGGAGGACAGATTCGAGGAAAATAGCCCTTTTTTTTGTCGGAAAAATAATCATAAATGAAGATGGGGGATTTCATACCTTTTGTTCCATCTTTTGTTCTGGGCTGGGAATTTCTGATTTTTTTTACTGTGTGTGTGTATGTGTGTGCCTGTATGAGCGTGTATAGGAAGAGGCGTGTATATATAAATATGGGTATGTAAAACCAATGTGTATGTGTATATGGAGCAGGGAAGTAAGTAACAGCTCAAAGGATGGAAGATAGAAGGGAATGATGCTCTTTAAATTTAAGTATGGTAACAAAAGTAACATGTTCTGGAAAAGAGAATCTACAAAGAGAAGAGCAATTAATACCTACTAAACCTTTCTGTTGTATTTCTTTAAAATGCCTTACTAAATAAAGTAGTTTGGGTAGCTTGAATGATTTATTGATCAGTCGATTGATTGATTGATTGATTGACTGTGATGCTGGGGATGGAAGCCAGGGCCTTATCCTTGCTAAGCAGGAGTTATAACCCCATATTAATATTTTGCCTCTTATAAAGTAGTCACGTTAAAACTAATGGGTGAGCCTTTGCATGTATTTTCCCTTTCCTGCTGGCATCTGTGTTAGGGGACACCGGAAGGCCTTTAAGGTGCCCTTAAGTACTTGGAGACGTAACGAGTGTGAATCTGTTGCTCACATGTAGAAGCGTTTACCACCTGCTGATGCCTGCGTGAATGGCCGCATCCTCACCCACCCTGGTTGGCAGAGGCTGTTATCTGTGTTTTAAAGTAGAGAGAGAACCTGGGCCTAGAGAAGTTCTCTGAGACTCCCTGGCGTGTGCAGCCCGTACATCAGCAACACAGCCCTGTGGGCCTGCGCCTGCCTTCCTGTGCTTGGCTCCTGGCCCTGGGGACTCTGCTGCTCCTCCTTTGTTTTGTAGAGTGAGGGTGTTGGTCCAGGTTTTGTCACCTGTGTGGATTCTGCATGATTAGTAGCCACTGCCGAAAACCTGGGCGTGAGAGTAGGGGTGACCAGAGGCGTGTGCCCGGCAGGGAGCAGGCCTGGTGACTGCCGGAGGAACGTGGGGTTTTTCCTTTCTTCTGCCCCTTAGAATGTGAACTCTGAAAATGTGAAATGTGCCATGCAGCTTTGTTGAAAGTTACACGAAAAAGGTGGAACAGAAATGATAGGCAGGTTTTGTTACTGCCCTTTTCAATGACTTCGATTCAGTAAACTTTTATCAGGCACCTATTCTATCTGCCCCCGACCCCGCCAGAGATGGAACCCCAGGGCTTCATATATGCTAGGCAAGCATTCTATCACTGAGCTATAGCCCTTGCACTTTTTATTTTTTTATTTTGAGACACTGTCACTAAGTTGCCTAGGCTGATCTGCAACTTGGAATCCTCCTGCCTCAGCCTCCTGAGTAGCTGGGATTACAGATATGTACCACTGCCCCATGCTGATCCTCATCATTTGACATTTCTACAACCTCACTTTATTTTATTTATTTATTTATTTATTTATTTATTTATTTATTTTCCCCATTAACTTTATTGGTACATTTTAGGTATAAAATACAGTTACATTCATCATTGGAATCTT